GCTTCCTTAGTTAGGTTTTATAGTATTGGATGTTTGCTTATCTCGTTTGTCAAAACTATATATTTTCAGGTTAAAATGTTTGATTGTACTAGTCAAGTGCCAGACTTGCCAGACTGCGTCTTATCTTACATCTTCACAAAGTTATCCATGAAAGATTTATTGAAAACTAGTATACTCTCTAAGAGATGGCGTAATCTTTGGACTTTAAGGAGAGATCTTTACTTTGATGTCTTCAATGTCCTTGAAAACACTGAGGAGGAGCTAATACAAAAGGGGTATCTTATTGATGTCCCTTTACCTAATATTTATGGTTCTACCATGGAGAGAGCGCTCAATTGGGATACTAGTGATTTATTTGTAAAACGAGTTGATCAATTTCTCAAGCATTCTAATGCCACAACTATTGATTCTTTCTTGGTCAACTTCTATTTAGGTTCTCAACAACAAAGCACTATTGATGAATGGATAAGTTTTCTAATTAAAAGAGGGATTCAAAGAATAGATTTACTCTTTAGTGTAACTTCCCTTCCATTTACACTTTCCACCTATCTATGCAGACCTTGTCAATTTCCCCTCCATTTATTTTCAGAGACTACGGCTTCAACTCTGAAGCATCTGCGTCTTGAATATTGTCTTCTTTTCCATCCAACTAATTATGACTTCACTTCATTCAAAAACTTGAGTTTCCTTTCACTAAAAACGTTAAGAGCGGATGCATCTTTTATTGAAAGTTTATTATCTAATTGTAAACAACTTGAAGAGCTTCACTTAATTGAATGTGATTTCGAATCACCAATACTAAAGATAGTGAGTTCATCCCTTTGTCATCTCAAGGTATCATGCTTTTTCCGATACAGCATTTTACGGAAGAATGTAAACCTGACTTTACTGGATTGCCTTAAACTCACTTCATTGGACTACCGTGGACAGCGTGGAGATCGCTTGGGTAACATGAATTTTATTACCCCTATGTTGAACAACGTTCAGCTTGCTGTTATTTATAGTGGAGAACATGTTGATGCATTTAGACTCTTGGCAACTCTTCCTAAACTTGAGATTTTGCAATTAGACTTTTATTCAACGGTAAGTCATAAAATGTTCCAACATGAATTGTTTACCTTTCTTTGTCTTTTGAATGATATTTTATGAGTCTTACATTTTCTTGTTTAGGTCCCAACTTTCGTAAAGATAACTCAGCGACTCGAACATCTCAAGGAGTTGAACTTGATTCTATACCGGCCATTTGACACCCCCCAGAAATTAGACTTTGATCTTTCTGGGATTTTAACCATCCTACAAGCTTGTCCACTTTTGCAGGAACTTTCGGTCATGGTCAGTAAACATGGTTAATAATACACATGATTTAGATATTTTGATTTGTTGTATAAATTTTGATTTTACTTTTTACAGCTCACATATCCTGAGACTATGGAAAATCAACAAGTTGCTAGTGATGTGGAAGTGTTCTCTCATGACGAGGTCAAAGTTATTGAATTGAGAGGTTGTGTTGGCAATTGGTATGAAATTGAGTTTGCTATGAATGTTATCAAATATGCCAACAAACTTGAGCAAATAGTTTTGAGTCCATATTGGAAAGACCATGAATCTTTGGATTGGAGTTCTGAACTTGTATGGTTTCAAAGTGGGCGTCAAAAGATTAGTGAAAAATTTCAAAGTGAAGATGTAGTTGGACGAGAAAAACTATTGCTCATATAAGACTCTGCATAATTCTTTTTGTTTGTGTTTTACTTGTAACAATTCTACTTTTAAGACCTAATATATAAATTTTAATCTTTTACCTTCGATTCCTTGCTTGCTTTATCTAGACGGTCATGTATTCACGTCTCTGAATTAAATAATAAGCTACATGGGGGTGAGTTCTAAATTTTTAGTTGGTTTAACCCTCCCTGAGTTGTCCTCTGATCACTTCTTGTTGATGCTTACTGAACTGCGAATAATAACCTGCATAACTTCCATATAGCAACTTCATTAGGCTAATTATCTAAGGTCTAAGAATATCTTGCTGCATTTTGCATATTATGATCTTGCTGCATATTGCTAATTATCTAAGTGGCTATGCCGTTTAACTTTCTCTCTTTACTCATTTTATCCTTCTTCTTTGGAGCTCTGCTCTATAGAATCTGGTTACCATGTCTAATCTAAGATAAAGCGATACCTTTGAAGATTTAACCTCTTTTATGTCACTAATATTCTCGTCAACGTATCGATTGGCTCATCTCTCAAGTGTTTTTAGCTTTTGGTTTGGTTTGAGCCCATCTAAAAGATCAAAGTAAGAAGAAACTTTGGTTTTGTTCATTTTGCTTAGATAAAGGACACGAGAAAGTTTCAAAGGGTTCTTTTAAATTTAGAATCAATCTTGCAGAATTTGCAAGGAACCACCAGGAAGTGAAGTTTGCCCCTCACATCAGGTATAAGAAAGGAAACCAAGTTTCAACTTATGTAGGAATGATTGGACATGGAGGAGTAGTAATTGGAACCGCATTAAAAAATGTGGTTTCCTATGGAAACAAGAAAGCTTTGAAACCTCAAGCTAATAAAACATGTCCATCCTCCTTCGGGTCGTTATAAATGGCTGGAAGTGGATTTAGATGGTGAAAAGGTATATTCTCTGTCCAAGTGTCTTGTGGGGGTTTTGAATTCCCAAGTCCACTTCTCTTCCATTACTAAGCATCTTCTTTCACCGGGGTTTCCTTATTTTAAACTCTCATCTTTGAAGTGGATGTGTTATGATAGTATGTAATGTCTTGTTTTAGGTAGGAGTTGTAAACGAGAAAACGGGACAAAAACGAAATAAACCAGAGAAATTATGGCCAAAAGACATTGGTGGCAACTGCCATAGTGCTTTCCATGGTGTAGCCATAACTGGGCACCTATGAGGCCCACGTAAGAAGCAAACAAAGCAAGAAAATCCAACTGCAGACTTCATGGCGCTTGTCATGGCTCTCAGACAAGCCACAATCTACATAAGGAACTGGCGCCCGACATCATTTTGCATGGCCCTCACCATGGGCTTCGTGGCCTAAAAAAAGGAGAAAAAGAAAACTAAGTTTTTGCTGCTATTTCAGATTTTTTTTTCAACTTCTTCTGCACGAATTCAGAACATCTAGTACGAGTTATAACTCTAAAAATAGCACTTTAGATTTAGTTTTTCATTATCCAAGTTTTTAATATTGAATTCAAAGCAAAAAAATCACTTAATGTAAAAGTGCTTATTGCTCTCATCGAGTGGTAAGCACACTATAGTTTTAATTTCTGTAATTTCCGTAAATATTATTGGATTATTTATTTGTCAAACTTGCCGATATTATTTTTACTCGAAGTTTTCTATAGCAGATAAAGACTTCATTGGAGCAGGTTACTATTATATATACTACACGCAAACAACAACGTCATATTTACGACGTATCCATATTTAAACATCTTAGTAAAAAATGATGTGTAGCACGCTTCAATCCTCAGCAACCATATTTTTTCTATTTTTTAAAGTACATTTAGCGTGTGTCACGTATCTCCGTTATTTAAAAAATAAATTGTAAATGATTTAACAACTGTGAATACGTCAACTGTTGTTAGAGGACTTAAGTTTCCACTACAGTTGCTTTGTCTAACCATGATTGAAGGATTTACTGATAAATTAAAATAAAATTTATTTCACATTTCTTTCATAAGACGTCCTAGGTGAACAAACGAGCCAGAAACGACAGCGGTGACTTAAATCTTCGTATCTATTCATTTGGAGCTTAAATCTCTACTCTCTTCGTTTATTTGATTCTTCAACTTCCCAGTACGATACTCTTCAACATCTTCATTTCTTTTTTTCTTTGTTTATGTTGTCTATGCTCAAATCTTCACGCTCTTCATTCATTTGATTCTTCAGTTTCGCAGTACGATACTCTTCAACATCTTCATATTTGTTTTTTCTTGGTTTATGTTGTATATGCTTAAATCTTCACCCTCTTCGTTCATTTGATTCTTCAGCTTCGCAGTACGGTACTCTTCAATATCTTCATTCATTTTTCTTGCGAGAATAGTGACGAAACAACCTATGATGAACTTTACTTTTTCCATTGTAATCCTTATTAATCAAATTATACTTTTTATGAGGCTTTTCAATCTTTGAATAATTAATAGTAAAAGTTTCACATGCTTGTGATGCCTTGTCCACTTTGGTTTCAAGAGTACTCACCTCTTGTTGCCAAATTTAAAAGGTTTCACAACCGAACCGACATGATTCATCATACCCTCTTTTATATTTTTGACCATCTACAATATACCACTTTAATGCTTCAAATTGTTTTTCGGTTTCTTTAACCTTGCTTCCAAGTATGTAAAAACGTTTCCATTGAAAGCTAATTTCTTATAAGCATGTAATGCTTTCTTGTATAGACTTTCAAAAATATTTTTCAAATCAATAAAAGATAACTTATCAACGAGTATTTAGAATGACTTACATTCTTTTTCTTGCCTTGTCGTTGATTAGCCATGAAATAATAATTTGCCTCTTCATCACTCTCACTTGAGTTTTCCTTGCTTGTGGCATCACTTTCGTTATTCCAAGCAACATAGGCGTTTTTAGGCTTCCTAGAATTATTTTGTTGGTATTTCCTTTCTTATTAACAAGAGAAGGACAATCTGGTCTATAATGACCCGACTTTCCGCATTCATAACATATATCTTTTCTGTTGTCCTTTTTGTTGTCTTCATCTTTGAGGATGTAGATTGTCATTTGTATCTCACAAGATTTTTGTCGGAGTGATTGACACTATTCTTCTGAATGTATCAATTGTATCTCCTTAGAAATAATCCCATTTGCTCATCATCACAATATTTTTCATCACAAGAGTCAATATCATTAGTGTGCTCTTCCCTTGAGGATCTAGAACTTGAAGCCCTAAGAGATTTAAACTTAATTCCTTCCTCTTTATTGGTCTCCTTTTCCTTTTTCTTATTTTTCTCAAGCTTCTTTTCATGTATGTCCAAGAAGTTGAGTTCTTGCTCGTGTTCTTCTAATTTCCCAAATAAGGCGGTGAGATCAAGTGTTGTAAGATCATTGTCTTCCTTGATGACAGTGACTTTCGGTTGCCAATTCATAGTAAGACATCTCAAAACATTATTAGTAGCAATACCATTGGAAATAGGATTACCTAGCAAGTTTAAATGATTAATAAGATGTGAGAACCGCTTTTGCATTTGAGCAATGGTTTCATCATGCTTCATGCGAAAGAGCTCTAATTCTTGATTAAATATATTAATTTGAGCTTGTTTGACCTCATTAGCTCCCTCGTAGGTAACTTGTAGAGAATCCCTCATAGCCTTAGCGGTATCATAATGAGAAATGCGATAAAAATCATCAACACCTAAAGCGGATATGATAGTGTTTTTCGCTTTCCAATTGTGTGCCCACTTCTGATTAACTTCCTTATTCTACAGTGCTTCGGGCTTAGGAGCATCAAAACCATTAACACAGTATGTTATTGGTGTAAGACCATTTTTTATGGCCTCCCAAACACCCTTATCATATGAGCTCACATGAATTTGCATACAAGATTTCCAATAACTGTAGTTTTCTCTCGTAAAGATTGAGGCTATTTTATAACCCCCTTTAGGTTCGTAAGCCATTTCCTAATAAGCGTTTCGAAGCACAAAATGAACCGGTATTTTGATGCCACTTGTTAGACGATGGCGACTTATCTAGAGGGGGTTGTAATACGGTGGGAGAACTGACTTGGGTGTTTTGTGTTTTATTGCAATTATTGCGGATAGCAATTCACCACCAACTTTTCTTTTTTTATCTAATAAAGGAAAGGGTGAAAAGAACAGGAAAGACCTTTTGAAATATTTTTCTTGAGTTTGAAGGGTAGGTTATAAAAAGGGAAGGTGTTAGCATCCTTTTTACCCGTAGTTATCTACAGGCTCTTAGTTGCTAGCTCATTTTGAAATGCTTTGTAAAAATGTGTTTGTGTGGGTTTGAAAGTATTTTTGAAAAGTGCCTTTGTTTAGGCTAACATTGTAATGATTATCGTCTCTATAAGAATGTATACAAAGTGTTGACTTTCGAAAATATTTCATGAAAGTGTTGGTGTGTTTGAAAGTTGTTTTGTTTGAAATGTTTATGAGCAAGCAACTATAAGCGTTCTACCTACTCAAAAATTATTTGTTATTTCCCTCCTCCTTTAGACAATGCTTGTCTACCATTATTTGGTAAGAAGCCATATCATTGGATGTGAAGGGACATGCGCGAGTCATCGTATAATTATAGAAGGCAACATTGTAAGATACCTTAGCAATTTGTTGTATGGTAAGATACCTCTTCAAAGTACGAAATCAAGGTTAGCACAAACTCTTTATAAGGGATCATATTCAGATCTTTGGTATCCCACTCTCCTTTGACTTGACTAATTACCAAGGCTGAATCTCCATATACGCTTAAGAATTTGATTCTTAAGTCAATGGAAGTCTTTAGACCCAAGATGCACGCTTCATACTCAGCCATGTTGTTTGTATAGTCAAAAAAAAGTCTAGTAGTGAAAGGGGTATGGCACCCTTCGGGAGAAATGATTACAACACCAATTCTGTTACCCAATATGTTGGAAGCTCCATCAAAAACCATAGTCCATCGGGATCCTTGCTCAGGTCCTTCATACGATCCAGGTTCTTCACAGTCTGTCACTATCATGATGTTATCATACGGGAAT